GTAGTAGTAGTAGTAGTAGTAGTAGTAGTAGTAGTAGTAGTAGTAGTAGTAGTAGTAGTAGTCGTAGTAATAGTAGCACCCGTAGTAGTAGTAAGCAGTAGTAGTAGTAGTAGTAGTAGTAGTAGTAGTAGTAGTAGTAGTAGTAGTAGTAGTGGTAGTAGTAGTAGTAGTAGTCGTCGTCGTTGTCGTCGTCGTCGTCGTCGTCGTCGTCGTCGTCGTCGTCGTCGTCGTCGTCGTCGTCGTCGTAGTAATAAGACAAATCTACTTGCTCTAGCTCCTAAGGCTGAAGCGTCGCAGGGAGGACTTCCTCTCTGCATGCGCCCGCGGGCGCTGGGACCTATTGTCTTTTTCCCAACTATCCTGTGGTGTTGGGTCCTCGTTTTGAAGAGACAGCGCCCCGCGTCCCACCACCTCCCTCCTCCCCCATCCTTGCCTTTGCTCTCCGCATGTCTCAGCTCACCCCCTCCTCCCATCATCATCATCATCATCATCATCATCATCATCATCATCATCATCATCATCATCATCATCATCATCATCAGCATCAGCATCAGCATCACCATCACCATCACCATCACCATCACCATCACCATCATCGTCATCATCGGCATCGCCATGGCTGATTCGTTTCGTGGCCCCTTAGGGAGCTCCACCGAAGGCCCCAGTGGGGGGGGGCACATGCGTCCCCCACGCCCAGGACAGCGTTTCATGGCCCCATAGGGAGCTCCACCGAAGGCCCCAGTGGGGGGGGGGCCACATGCGTCCCCCACGCCCAGGACAGCGCTTCGTGGCCCCATGGGGAGCTCCACCGAAGGCCCCACTGGGGGGGCCACATGTCCCCCACGCCCAGGACAGCGCTTCGTGGCCCCATAGGGAGCTCCACCGAAGGCCCCAGTGGGGCGGGCCACATGCGTCCCCACGCCCAGGACAGCGCTTCGTGGCCCCATAGGGAACTCCACCGAAGGCCCCGGTGGGGGGGGGCACATGAGTCCCCCACGCCCAGGACAGCGCTTCGTGGCCCCATAGGGAGCTCCACCGAAGGCCCCGGTGCGGAGGGGGGGGGGGGGGGGGGGGGGGCACATGCGTCCCCCACGACGCCCAGGACAGCACTTCGTGGCCCCATAGGGAGCTCCACCGAAGGCTCCAGAGGGGGGGGGCCGCATGCGTCCCCTACGCCCAGGACAGCGCTTCGTGGCCCCATAGGGAGCCCCACCGAAGGCCCCAGTGGGGGGGCCGCATGCGTCCCCCACGCCCAGGACAGCGCTTCGTGGCCCCATAGGGAGCTCCACCGAAGGCACCAGTGGGAGCTCCACCGAAGGCCCCACTGGGGGGGGCCGCATGCGTCTCCCCCACCCAGGACAGCGCTTCGTAGCCCCATAGGGAGCCCCACCGAAGTCCCAGTGGCACAGTTCGCATGCGCCGCCCCCACCCAGGACAGCGTTTCTTGGCCCATAGAGAGTACCACCGAATGCGATACTCACAACGACGGTATTCACAACTGCATATGGTTGGGTCCTTCGCCAGGCTAATTTTCTCTCGCCATTCTCCTGGGATCGCCGAGCCCCAGCTGTTCAAGCTGCGGCGAACTGTCGACGCAGGGCGGCGGCAGTTGCGAGCCACCGCGACCGCGCCGAGCCCTGGCAGCCGCCGACGTGGCCTGTCCGATCCGCAGCCCTCAGAGGTTCCAGCCGCTTCTTTGGGGGCCGCGCGACGCAAAACAATTATCCTGACGAAGGACCCAACCATAAGCAGTTGTGGATACCTCGTTCTGGTCCCTATGGGACCACGAGCTGTGGATACAATGGGCGACCCGCAGCGGGAAGAGGAAATTCGGAAGGAGCGCACGTGCCGTCACACCGATTCCTCTCCTCGTCCTCCTCCGTCCTCGGCCTCCTCATCCTCCCCCCCCTTCTCTTCATCGCCACCACTATGCACCTCTCAGTCCTCAACTGTCGCCCCTTCTCCTCCTACCAGTCCGCCTCTCACTCCTTGTCCTCCTCCTCCTCGTCCTCCTCCTTGTCCTCCTCCTCCCTCTCCTCCATACGTCACTTGAGGCCAACATTGCGCTGTTAGAGCTTGTGCGACCACCTCCGAGGAAGCCAACATCATGACACTGCATGTTGAATGACTTATCACAACGTCGTTTTTGGCAATGTAATGGCTATGGCTGGTCGCATTTCCTTTGTATATAAGCACCTGCCCCGTCAACGTCACGCTACAAAGTGCAGGGCGGCGTGCGGGGAGGAGAGGAGGAGGGAGAGGAGAGCGGAGACCCCGCGACGCGCGCAGGTTGCCCCGCAGGGGTCCAGGCGACGCGCGCGGGTCGTCCGCTGCGCGGAGCAAAATTAGCAAAGTGACGACGACGACGACGACAACGACGAAGACAACGACGACGACGACGACGACGACGACGACGAACACGAAAAACACGACGGACGACGACGAACACGACGGACGACGACGGTGAGCCGCACATTCGGTGGGCGGGGAACCGCATGCGAACCCTGCTGCCGGGGCCCTTGGTGGAGCTCACTCTGGGGCCACGAACCGTGCCAAAGGTGTGCCGAAATGGACGCGCGGTGGGCGGGGAACCACATGCGAACCTTGCCATTGGGGCATTGAGTGGAACTCCATACGAGGCCCCGAACTGTGTGAGGGGTGTGTTGAAATGACCAGGGGTGGGCGGGGGACCGCATGTGAACTTTGCCATTGGGGCCTGCGGTGGAGCTCCATATGGGGCCACGAACCGTGTGAGAGGTGTGCCGAAATGGACCTGGGGTGGGCGGGGAACCGCATGCGAACTTCGCCACTGGGGCCTTGAATGGATCTCCCTATGGGGCCACGAATGGACCTGGGGTGGGCGGGAAACCGCATGCGAACTTTGCCACTGGGGCCTGCGGCGGAGCCCCCCTTTGTAAGGCCACGAACCGCGTGAAGGGTGTGCCGAAATGGACCTGGGGTGGGCGGGGAACCGCGTGCGAACTTGGCCACTGGGGCCTTGGGTGGAGCTCCTTGTGGGGCCGCGACCCGTGTAAGGATGATGCTGATGATGATGATGAGGAGGAGGAGGAGGAGGAAGAGGAGGAGGAGAAGGAGGACGAGGAGGAGGAGGAGGAGGAGGAGAAGGAGGAGGAGGAGGGAGGGGGCAGCGGGAGGGGGTCATCGGGAGTGAGGGAGTGAGTGAGGTGACGCGGGGCGCTGTCTCTTCACACCGAGGACCCAACACAGGACGGTTGGGAAATAGTGGCGGCCGCGGCCTGTCGTCGCCCTCGGCCTGCACCTTCAGCACCTTCCGTGCGGCATGTGCCGCGCTGCTGCACCCGCGGAAGGCTCCAACGGCTACCCCGGAAGAAAGTTGTTCGTCCCGGAGCCCGAGGTCGCGCCCCAGAGGCCCAACGTCAAGTTCGAGCCCCTTGGCCCGAGGGCGGGCCCGCGAGGGGCGCAGGCGGTGGCAGCTGGCAGCGTACACGCGCGCGCGACGATCCTAGAACATTGTATTGTCTTCAATCCGCCTCTGCTCCAAAACGTTATCGAAACAAAAAAACGGCCCGCGACACCGCCCAAACACCGTTCTCGGGCCGACCACCCGGCGAGCCTCGTCCGCCCCCCAGCGTCCGCGGCCTCCTTCCGCAGGTGCGACAGCAGGTGACGCTTCCACTGCCACACGAGCCAGTGGAAGGGGTACCTTGCGGCGAACTCCTCCAGACGAAAACACCACAGATCATCCGAGATTTGCGGAACATGCTCGACATCGTGAGAAGACACGGCCGGATCCCTATACCCCATGTTCCTGCGGCAGTTTTCGAGCTGGATCGATTTGTGAGGGTCTTGGGGCCTGAAATTGAGCGCAAAGCGCCGGTTGTGAAGCATTGCAGCGCCAGGGTCTCAGGTTTTGGCTTTGCCACGTGCCACCGCTTGGTCCCTGTGCCCCGGTCCACGACGTCCAGGGCCCCCTAAGCGGGGGCATAGCCAAACGCGGAAACCTGCGCTCCCCGTGCCCCCGCTCGCTGTGCCCCCGCCCCGGAGCTACCCCGAGACCCGGGCGCTGCCTCCTTCTCCGCGTCGGGCGCTTTCGGGCCCCCCGGGACCCTCACAGATCGAGCCGGGTCGAAAACCGCCGCAGGGAGAAGATGGGGTGTGTCAGCATGGGGGAAGCGGGTCTTGAGGGGAGCGGGTCCTGGTTTCCGGCCGTCAGACGCCGGTCAAGCAAGCGGTGGGGTGCACCCTGCACCCGGAGCGAACTGAGGCCCAAAAGCGAAAAGGAAGAGAGCGCGAGGGGTCAAGGGCAAACAAAAACGCCCCTACCCTGGTTTACGAGGCGCTGTGCGCTGAACCTTCTGTGGGCTGACAGGAGAAACCCTGCGTATCGCGCGTGTCGCGCGGCTCACTGGCGGCTCTCTGGCTTTTGGGAGCTCGCAGGAGGTTTACCGACCACGCACTTGTAACCCAGGGTATAGGGTTTTTTTGTCATTCCTCAAGGGAGGAACTCGGAACTCGGGAGTCCTCGAAAGACCGTCACTCAGGACAGCACTGCCGGGGGTGTGCAGGACACAGGTAATCCTGCAGACCAAGAAGGCCCTATGAAGGGCCACACAACTCAAACGACCGCCAACTCAAAGAGATAGAATCCGAGTGCCAAGTGAAGTGATCTCAGCACGGGGGCAGTAAAACAAAAGCACAGTGCAACATCCCATACCCAGCCCGCTCAGACCATGGTGACCAGGGCAGCAGGGCGGGGCCGCCGCGAGCCGGCACGCGCCTGGAGCGCCGCGGCCTGCGCGGCGCGGCGCGGCGCGGCGCGGCGCGGGCGCTGTGCCGCCGCCAGGTGAAGATCCTGCCAGGCCCCGACCACGCTGGGAGGACCCCACCCAGACCTCCTCGCGCTGCGAACAACAATCACGACGGGAGGTTTTTCATGATCTTCGGCCTCCGGGGGGACCCTTACCGGGACCGTCAAGAAACGACTCAGGACGAAAAACTGGTCCCGGGGAAGGGGTCCAGACCTCTGGGGGTCGACGTTGCGAAAAAATCACGACGTCGGGGGTCTGGGCAGCGCCCCCACCTCGGCGGCGAGCGGCCGCTCCAGGCGGCGGCGGCGTCGGCGGAGGTGGCGGCATCAACGCCGACGGCGACGGCGACGGCGGCGACGACGTCGACGGCGACGGCGGCGGCGGCGACGTCGGCGGCCGCGACGCCGGCGGCGGCGGCGGCGGCGACAGCGGCAGCGAAGGCGGCAGCGAAGGCGACGGCGAACGCGGCGGTGATGCCAATGCTCGCGCCGGCCAGGACCGACGCCCCCGCCGCCAGGACGGCGGGCGACGTGGTCGCGGCGGTGGACAGCAGCCTGCGGGAGCTCAGGCGGGCGGGCGGGCCTGTGGCTCTCTCTTGCCCGGCCAGCCGCGGCAGCCCGGTGCGGCGGCGGCGGCAGCGACAGACACCGGGCTCGGGGATCGACCGGCACGTCGACTGCCCCAGACCTCCAGCGCACTGAGAACCTCAAGGCGCTATGGTTTGTTTTTCTTCCTCCTCGGCCTCTGAGCGCCCTCGTGGGGCCCCGGGGCCGCCAAGGAACGGCTCGGGGCGACGAGGCGGCCCTGCAGGAAAGGGGTCGGCACTTCCAGGGGCCCCGTGGTGAACGAAAAGTGCGGGACGCCGGAGATCTGGAGCAGTGGAGACCGCCATGGCGGAAGCTCAGGGTCGGGCCTCCCTTCTTCACCGGGCGCGCTCCACTAAAACTACTCGCACAGTGCCGACTCGCAGACGTCCTAAAGACACATGCGCGCCTCGTGGTAGTGGATCGCGGGTCCCCCGCGGCGGATCCAGGCCATGTGCGAGTATAGTCGCTATGCGGGTAGTGGAGCGCGCGTGTCTACTTCTGACAGGCCGCGGCGGCGTGATGCGGCGGCGTGATGCGGCGGCGGCGGCAGCCACCGCCCACGGGGGCGCGAGGCGACCTGGGCTTCTCCAAGCCCGCCCTGGGCCGCCATAGAGGCGCCAGGCGCAGCGGCGACCGAGCGTCGCGCATCGCTCTATTAGTGTTAAGTCAGGCGTGTCCCTCTACAGAAAGAATATGCAAAAATAGTCCAAAAATAGGATGGGGACTATTTTTCGAATATTTTTTGACATTCTGGAGTATTTTCCGCGTGTTCTTTATTTTTCGTCGAAAATCCCCATGTACACTGTAGGAGGACAGGCCCGACTTAACATTAGTGCCCGGCGTGTCCCGCCCGCAGCCCGACCGGCGCCTGCGCCTGCTTCGACTCGCTTGCGCACGCTGGCTCGAGAAAAAAACGTCGCGCCCCTGCAGGGCTCGGTGCGCGGCTGGCCTGTATGAGGGCAGCGGGTCCCGGGGGGAAAGCGGTTTTCTGGGGCTACCGTTACGTCGGGCCTGTCCCTCTACAGGAGGAATATTCAAAGACAGGGAAAAATAGTCTGGGGACTGTCTTTGGCTTCGTTTTTGACTATTTGGGGGTGTTTTTGGGATATGTTTTATGTTTCGTCCCAAATCCGCCTGCAGGATGAAGCCCGACCTAAGGCTATCGATGTTTTTTGGGGTCCCTGGGGCAGTTCTCGGGCGGTGGGCTCATGGTGGGGCTGTAAAACAGCGGGTCAGCACGAAATCAGGAGGGGAAAAAACACACAGACACAATTAATCGTGGACTCCCAGGAAAATATGGGAAGTGTGGGGGGGAAGACAACAACCCAGAAAATATGGGAAAACATAGGGAATCGGGTTATTTGTGTGTATTTATTTGTGTGTCCCCAGGGCCCCTTCATGAAAAGCTGCCCGCTGGCCTCTGCTTGACCGCCTCGCCGCGAGCCGATGCTCGGCCCCACCTCGCGGAACCACCGGCTGGCCGCTTCGGCATCCCGGGGCAGCCTTCACGCGTCCACGCTGCTCCTGGCCCGCTTCTTCGCACGAGATCCTTCGCGTCGGCCACGGCGTACAGCGAGCGGCTTGAATAAGAAACACTTACTTTTAAAAAGGGGCTTGGTCGTTCCTTAGGCTTGCATGTGTTATTTATCGTCACCTACGCTTTATGTATTATTTGTTCATCGTTCCCTCTGGGTTATTCCTTGGAAGAAAGGGGCATCGTTCCTTATTTATCGTTCCTTAGGTCAGGCCGATGACTGTATCGAAAATGGACCTGCACAGTACAGCTGATGAAGAAGACCGTGGGCGGGGGCGAGCACTGTTGCGCAGTATCCGGCCCCGACCCAAACCTTCAGAGCGGTTTGGGCGGTCGCCGCGGCGATCGTGGTGGGTGCCACACATCGAGGCAAGGGTTCTTGCTCAGGAGGAGCGCTGGCAATCGTCATCATCGGGTGCTCTCTCCTGAAAAAATCTAGCGACCGAGAGTTGCAATGTGGGCAACCCTGTTTTTGCACAGGGGCCCGTTCGCACGCAGCCCAGACATGACCACAGACATCCCGAACTGGGCGTTCGGATCGCCGCGCACATTGCGACGCGCTGGCCCGGAAGAGGCCGTGCCTCGCGCCGCACACGCTCGCCTGCGGCTGGGCTGGGCTGGCTGGTGCCGCGCCTCCTGGTCTGCCTGGCGGCACTCGGCCTCGACCCTGTTTGCCAGCTCCTCCTCCTCCTCCTCCTCCTCCTCCTCCTCCTCCTCCTCCTCCTCCTCCTGAGCGACGCAGGAAAAAACGGGGTCGTCTGCACTGACATCGGCGCGCGAGCGCCCCGCGCAGGGTCGCGTGTGAGCGCCCTCGATCCTGGCGTGGCGTGCCGCGCCGGCGGCCCGCGCAAGCCAGCCCGCTGTGCCATCTGGCGTATAGTAGCCGTGCTCTTCGTCGCTCACTCGCTCTGGCCCCCCCCAGCGCCCTCCTCCTCCTCCTCCTCCTCCTCCTCCTCCTCCTCCTCCTCCCAGGGGGCGGGCCGCATGCTCCCATCAGCAGCCCGTGCTTTCCGCACGCGGGGTCTTCCAGGGGGCGGCGACCGCGTGGCCAGGGCGTCCCGCTGCAGGGGTCGTTCGGCCGTCCGCCCCAGTGCGCCCAACTCCGCTGAAGAAAATGCCCTGGCACGCAAACGCCGACACTTTTGTCGCCCCTGCGCCGCCCCGCAGGCACTTCCAGAGTGCCTTCGGCGCGCGCGACCGTGCGCGGCGCCGTTCGGCGCCGCCTCTGCGCGGCGCCAGCGTTGAACGGGCAGTCTTTGCTCTGAGGAGCCCCCCCGTGGTCTCTCCGGCCCCGCAGGGGGCACCCCGCGGGGCTGCACGCGGGCCTCGCGCGGCCGCGCGTTCGTTGTCCGGGGGAGCGCCCCCATGGCCGTGGCCAGGGGCTCTGCAGGCCCCCCCCCCCTCCTTCCCCGATGCCTCCTGGAGGCGGCATCCGGGGGTTGTGCTATCCTCGAGGCGCTCCGGGCCCGCGCCCTGCGTGGCCTCGCGCCTCCGTGCGGTCGATCCGGCTGCCGCCTCCCGCCGTTGCAGGTGGTGTCCGAGGCTCTGCTGCCTCGCGTTGCATGTGGTCTCTCGGGGGCCACATGCGCACCCTACCCCTGGATATACCCCCCGCGGTTTCTGGGGAGGAAGAGCTCCCAAGCGAAGTGACCCCCGCCGTCCCCTTCGGAAATCGTGGGGGGGGTGGGGGTAGGGTTCGCCCGTGGCCCCCTAGTCTCGTGCATGTGGCCTCCAAGGCTCTGCTGCCTGAGGAGGAGGAGGAAGAGGAGGAGGAGGAAGGAGGAGGAGGAAGGAGGAGGAGGAGGGAGGAGGAGGAGGACTGTAGTGTAGTGCAGATGCCCTTAAGGGTAGGCATAACCCTGCTACTCCTTTTCTGGACCGTAGCTGCTGATGTCGGGTAGCGGCCTGGGGAATGCGACGAGCCCCCCAGCGGCTGCAGACCTCCCGCCGCCGCGAGGGCCCCTCCGACGGGCAACCGTCTGCCCTTACCGAGGTGACCACCTCGGCGCTCCCCCTAGCTTCCCTGAGTTTGCCAGGGTGGGAGCGGGCAAAAGGCCGAGCAACTCCAGCACCAATGGCTAGAGCCAAAATGGTGCCGGAGGCCGCAGTCGGCTTAAGCGAAGGGCGTGCCAGTCCATCCGTTATCATCTGCTCGGGTGTGGACCTATCCTAAGATCTGTTAGAATAGGTCAGGAGAAACAAAGTTCGGGGTCCGCCGAGACGCATGTTATCCTACGCAGTGGCGGGCGTAACGCAACCAACCCCGAACGGATCTTGCTAAGAAAGTTCGGGGTCCACCCGCATCGGGGCCACTGGAATTCCTAGAGGACACCTGTTCTCTTAAGCAGTGGCGGACGCAACGAAATTGTCACGAAATTCGGCCGCTGTGCTCAAGCCACCCCGCATCGGGGCCACTGGAATTCCTAGAGCTAGGACACCTGTTCTCTTACGTCCTTCGAGTGGGGGGCTCAGGCCATGCCTTGGCCAGCTCAGACGCCCTGCCCGCCCCGCCAGTCGAGTGCCCCGCCAAATTGTTACATCCACACCGCTGCGCTCTGTTCCCTCCGTGTTGGAACACAGGAGGCCCAGGATTCACCCCTACAGTTTGTGACGAAATCGAGGCGCAAACATTGAGTTAGCAGCCCAGGGCCTCGCTTAACAAGACACCGAGCGATTGCAAGAAAGTGACGGCCATCATAGACGCAGCGAACGACGAGCCCGATTCATTGAACAGCGTTGGCGTCGGGGGGTGTAGCAGAGTTTGGGGCACCCCACGCACCATCGGACGGAGGGGGCCCGGGAGAGGGAGGCAGGGAACAGTTGGGAGTGGAGCAAGGAAAGAGGAGGAAACAGAGAGGAAGGGAGAATGGCAGGGACGCCAGGGACTGGCGGAAGACGGAGGGGTGAAGAGAGATGCGGTGAGGAGAATGTGTGTGCAGGACTACCAGCCTTGTCGTTGGGTGCGTCCTTGAGGCAACGGCCTCGCGACGGGGGCAATCGCGCAACATCTGAGGATGCACGAATCCTGGTTTTGCCGCCGGGGAGCGGCGGAAAGAGGAGGGGGGGGAGGAGGGAGGGATGAGGAAGCGCGTAACCGTGCGCAGGCTTACCTGCCTTTCCGCCGGGCGCGTTTGCGATGAACTTGCCTCGCGATGCACGAAACCTGCCCTTGCCGCCAGGGAGTGGCGGAGGATGGAATGGGAGTGGGGGGATGGGTGGAGTCGAAAGAGTGTGCAGGACTACCGGCCTTGCCGCCGGGTGCGTCCTCGAGGCGACTGCCTCGCGACAGCGGCGTGCGTGCAGAATCTGACGATGCACGCGACCCGGTCTCGCCGCCAGGGAGCGTCGGATGTTGGCCGAGCCTGGCGCCAGCACGGCGCATTGGCTAAAATTACAAGTAGGAGCTGCGCAACTTCACAAACTCGCTGGGAGGGTGAGAGGGGGGGT